AAAAAATGTTTTAAAAAATAAAAAATGCATTTGTGAGTACTAAACATTTGTTTATTTCGCTCATCTTTAAGTGCACCAAATATGCATACCATGCATCTTAGATGCACCAAAGAATATGGTAATGTTTTCCTTAAAATGAAATGAAAAATAAATTTTATAAAGTATTAAAATAGTTGAGAAGATATGTAGTAATACGGCGTCCTACGTGAGTAATGGCTGCCATACAAGGCAAGGTATTTTTAGTTTCAGTTGTGCTAATTGTGCACCGCGATTTGTACCCTACATTGTACATTATTGGCTTACACTCGCAAAGCACTGATATATACACTAGCATAAAATATCAATGCAAAGACTATCAATCATACTAATATTTTATACTAGTGTATACCAATGCTATACTTGTTGGGGGTAACATTAGCATTATCCCTTTAGATTAGCAATTACTCTTTCTGTCTCATAAAAAAATTTGACTTTTGACTTGACACAAAAAAATTAAAAAATTAAAAAAAGAGTTGTATGCACATATAGTTCTTGTGGTACGATGTTTCATAGGTGGGTAAATAGTTCTCGAGCTTTCAAAAGTTGTCGAATAGTCTCCGTGGTCAAATAACCATAGTATAATTAGTCCTTATATTTGAAAAATCATAAAATGTAAACAACACGCGCGTATTATGCAAAGATGTCAATCATGCAAAAGTAAAAAATAAAAAATAAAAATCTAACTAAATAGGACTAAAACATAATGACTTTCCCAATATAGGACTATATGTTTTTATTTCTTAATGTAGGACCATTGGTCATTATCAATTAGTCATTATTCAAGTAAATGTCTATCATTACTGGACATTATTCCTCCCACTAGGCATTATTAAGTCCTATTTAGGGAATAAAAAAGTTTAAGTTCTACATTGGGAAATGACTTATGTTTTAGTCGTATTTAGTGCAAATTTCCCAAAAAAACTAATTTGAAGTTTCAGTTGTGATGTCTAACTTTGAACTATAGTACAATATCTTCTATTTTTTTGTTTAATTCTTACAACGAATTCTCCGTCTCTTCTATAGTGATATTCTTGAATCGTAGTACAATGTCCAATGTGTGCTCGCCATTATTCTATTTTTTTCAAGTAGCTTTATTCTAAGGTAATATCAGGCGAGAAAAGAGTTAGAAAAAGATTCTTCATTGTCTTTAACCACGAAGACGAGGGAAAATTCTAGAGATTAACTTCTTTTTTTTGTTACATACTTCACATAGTACACTTATTTTATTCTAATAAATATATTACGACAATGATGATTTTTTAAAAAAATAAGTTATTTTTATTTTATTAGATTATTTTTAATTGTTTATCGATTTCATAAACAAAGTTTTTTTATAGCTAATTACAATAGTTCATGTTATTACAATGTATAAATTTATAAAACAATTCACATTTATGTATAAATAATCTATGGATTATAAACAATCAAACAGAATCTTATAAAATTCTGCTGATAAAATACATTAAAATCTATCAAACTCCGCATAGACTTAAAACAATTCATAGATTTTGCAGAATCCATTGACTTTAAACAATCTATCTAAATCTTTCATAATTCTAATTGAATACACCCCCTAATTATGCATCAATGTTTTGATCACATGGACTATTTTGTAACTTTTAAAAGTGCATGGATTATTTACCTATTTCACAGAGGTTATTTGTGCATATAACTCAAAAATAAAATCATATAGTAAAAAATGATGTAGAGGAGAGAAAATTTATAAAAATGACAGAGTACAATTTTTTATAAATGTAGAAAATTGTATTATTTTTGAAAAAAATAAAAAGGAAAATGTGAAACTTTTAAATGGAGGGGGGAGAGTACGAGCAATTGAGCATAGGGAGGAGTCAAAGGAGGGGTGAACAATAATAAATACGCCCATACCTCTCTCTCTCTCTCTCTTCATTATTTAATTTATTATTTCCCTCCTTACGTCGTCCTAATACTAACAGTTTTTGTTTAATTGCTGGAGTTTGTTTGTTTACCCTACCGCGGCACCGCTATATACACTGTACGCGGCCGCAACTTCCAGAGTCATCCCCCACCTCTCCTCCCAAAGCATTCTTTTTTAAATCACCCCCTCCCTCAGCTTTATTATTATTCTACACGGCAAAACTTCAATTCATTTCCCCTCTCTCTCTGCTCCTCCCTCATCTTCTTCTTTCTTCTCCTTCATAGCGGCGGAGTCTTTTTTTCTCATGGCGTCGCAGTTAAAGATAACGGCGACCTTAGCTCTGGCGCTGCTGCTGCTGCTGCATCTGTTTGCGGCTGCGAGAGCAGAGAATCCATACCGATTCTTTACTTGGAATGTTACCTATGGCACTATCTACCCTCTCGGCGTTCCCCAGCAGGTCGGTTATAAACTTATGCACTCATCTCTTTTTCATTTCTTCTTCTTCTGTTCGGATTAGATTTCAGTCACATGGATCTGGCTTGTTTTTCTCTGGGATCTTCATTTGAAGTCTCAATTCGGAGGATTTTCTCGCTTCTGATTCCAATATCAGAGCGGATGCTCTTTGTAGCTTTGTTGTTCTTCAGCATTCAAAGCAACTGACAGACATTAATTTTGTTTATTTTGTGTTGGTCTTTGTTTGTTCTTAGGGATTTTTGATTAATGAGCAGTTCCCAGGCCCAGAGATTCACTGCGTCACCAATGACAATCTTTACATCAATGTCTTCAACAACTTGAATGAGTCCTTCCTCATTTCTTGGTGAGCCCTTTTTTTGGCACTGACTGAGATCCTTTAATTACATTATTTGTCCCTAGTGCGCGTCATCATTTACCATTAACACTCCCAGATCTGATGGATCCTTTGAATGATCCCAAATTCTTTTCATTTCTTCAACATCACACAATCATAATGGACTACAAATTGACTTCATTTTCTAAACTGTTCGGTTCTTAGATTGGTATGACAGAATTAACCAATACTTTTATCTTTCATGTTTATCACCTGCAAAAATTCGTCCATATAAGAAAGTAGTCCATAACTTACATTTGCCTCCCAATATGTCTCCACAAGTTTAGCTTATATTTGAACGGGCAACGATTTGAAAGCTCAAAAGCTGTTTTAATCTCAGAAAATGTGCAATCAATATTAAAGACTTGGAGTTCATTGTCGCAAATAAAGAGGTTCTGCTATGCGCAAAATTGGGCATGGTGGGATATATCGGAATCTATTCTAACCAACTAGGCATATATTTTTTTAGGTTCAAATTCTCATTAGAGAGTCTATGTTACATTACAGGAATGGGATTCAGAATAGGAGGAATTCATATGAAGATGGAGTTTATGGAACAACGTGCCCAATTCCTCCCGGAAAAAATTTCACCTACATTCTGCAAGTGAAAGATCAAATTGGGAGCTTCTTTTACTTCCCTTCTCTTGCCTTCCACAAAGCAGCAGGTGGCTTTGGAGGCATCAGAATTCTCAGCAGGCCCGGAATTCCTGTCCCTTTTGATGAACCTGCAGGCGACTTCACCTTGCTTATCGGAGATTGGTACCTGAAAAATCATACGGTATCTTCACTAGCCTCCAATCTGTTCATTAGAGTGACAAACAGCATTGTCAATCCACTCCACTTGCATTGCATTTCTACTCTTCTCTACCCAATCAATGATTTGGTGCCTCTGTCAAATCAATGCAGGGTTTGAAAAGGATTCTTGATGGAGGCCATAAATTGCCATTCCCTGATGGGGTACTTATCAACGGTCGCGGATCCAATGGCACTTCATTCACCGTCGAACCAGGTTATAATATGTGACCAGAGCAATTTTAGTATTTCATGTATGGATGGTTTAGAGCATATATCATATTAACACTTGACACTTATGTCTGTCAGGGAAAACGTATCGGCTTAGGATTTCCAATGTTGGGCTGCAAAATACCCTGAATTTCCGCATACAGGGACACAAGATGAAATTGGTGGAAGTGGAGGGAACTCACACCATGCAAACCACTTTCTCCTCCCTTGATGTTCATGTTGGACAGTCGTACTCGGTGCTGTTCACAGCTGATCAGACCGCTCAAGATTACTTCATCATTGCCTCCACTCGTTTCACCAACAAGATCCTTACTACCACCGCTTTCCTTCGTTATAGCAACTCCAATAGCCCTGCATCCGGTCCCCTCCCCGGCGGGCCCACCATAGAAATTGATTGGTCCATCAACCAGGCCCGTGCCATCAGGTCAAATCTTACGGCAAGTGGGCCTAGGCCCAACCCACAAGGATCATATCATTATGGTATGATAAACACTACGAAGACCATCATTCTCTCAAGCTCTGCTGCACAGGTGAATCACAAGCAGAGATATGCCATCAACAGCGTGTCATTTATTCCAGCTGACACTCCGCTTAAGCTCGCTGATTACTTCAAAATTGATGGAGTTTTCCGCGTAGGAAGCATTCCATCTACCCCCACCGGTGGGGCCGTGTATCTCGACACTTCTGTCATGGGTACTGACTACAGGTCATTTGTAGAGATTGTGTTTCAGAATGACGAGAACATTGTCCAGAGTTATCATATCGATGGATACCAATTCTGGGTTGTTGGGTAAGTGTCTTATCATAAATTATGTGTTTACTGTGGAATTGCCATACGAGTTCTTCTGATAATAATAATTAAAAACTGATTTTGAAATGCAGAATGGATGGTGGGAAGTGGACTGAAGATAGCAGGAAGAATTACAATCTTCGTGATGCAGTTGCACGCTCTACCACTCAGGTAAAAACCCAATAAATTGAGGATCTAACCATGCATAGTTGAAAAGGGAGAAGAAAGAAAGAAAGAAGAATGTAATAATACAATGGTGTTGTGGAAATTGCAGGTGTACCCATACTCATGGACTGCTATTTACGTGGCACTTGACAATGTGGGAATGTGGAATGTGAGGTCTGAGTTCTGGGCACGCCAATACCTCGGACAGCAGTTTTACTTGAGGGTCTACACGGACTCGACCTCGTTGAGAGACGAGTATCTCATTCCATTGAATGCCCTTCTTTGCGGTAGAGCAGTCGGTCGTGACAAACGACCCTTTTAAGTTCCAGTGGACATTCTTCCATGGTTGGAAAGGTTAAAAAAACAGGCGAAATGCTCCATCCACCTCCACTGCTCGGCTCATTGCATAATTTATGTGCAGTCACTTTGGAATAGTTTAGCAAAAAAGAAAAAGAGTTTCATTTGTCGTGGGATTTTGCTCGTGTGTTATTTCAGCACCGGAGGCCATTTCTCAGGTTGATGTCTTGATGACCTTATCTCAAGGTCAAATTCTTTAAGTTTCAACTCAAATATTGTATTTTGTTTGTTTTTCGTTCCACTATAGTTCCTAGTTACTACTGGTTTATAACTATTGTTCGATTTTATTATGTAAAATTTGTTCTCTTTAGGACTCAAACATACATGTTTTCTCTAAATAAGACTTCATCTTCCTCTGGTCAAAGCTGGCCGCTACCATTCTTCGTCCCTATTTGTTCCCTACGCCATTGTCTACCATAAAGAAATTTTTTTTATATTAACTCTCTAAAAATACATTTGATGTGATATGTAAAGTGAGTATCTACCATCCACTCTAGTGTAAAAGTACACCCAATGAATTCTTAAATGCATCTCTGCTCCCTTACTTCTCTTCTCTGATGCACTCCGAATAAAATGAATGAAATAACTGTATGTTAAAACACATCCGGTTGTACGATAGAATTTATCGTGTAGACTAGAATGTGATGAGTAGATTAATAAAAAGTAAATACAATTTGAATGATATGGTAAGAATTAGAATATGTAAAAATAATTTCTTTAATAGAAATGCAAAAAATATTTTGGGACAGAAAAAGGAGAGGGACTTTTAAGTATTTACCAAAATGTGCACGGAGCAATGCACGAGTGCAATGAGTTATGTTAGGTGCACACTACTTTGGTGTACACCAGTGTATTACAGATAAACGAATCTATGTACGTTGGTCGAATGAGTTTTACTATTCGTTGTTTATTGAACTAAATGAGTGTAACAATTCGTTGATTCGTTGTTCCTTGTTTCACATAGTGTTGAACTATGTTCAACGAAATGAGTTTCACATAGTGAAACGAATTTCTGCCAAATAATTATTATCTATGTGTGTCTGTAAAACAATGATGTACTCCCTCCGTCCGGAAAAGAACTTCCCATTCTACGCTTTTTTCGTCCGGAAATAAACTTTCCATTCTACCTTTTCATACTCAATCTTCCTAAAATACCCCTTCTTCTCCTCTCTTCATTTTTCTTCTTTCTCCCCTCTTTTCTCGGTAGATCTGGCCACCCCCTCCCTTTCTTTTTCTTCTTTCTCTCGTGGTTCTTTTTCTCTTCCCCCCCCTTCTATTTTTTCTTCTCCCGATTTTCTTTTTCTTCATTTTTTCTTCCTCTCCTTTTCCTTCTTTCTCCCTTTCTTTTCTTGGCAAAATCATGCAATCATCTTCTCTCACTCCCCCCTTGCTTTTCTTCTTTCTCTCCTTTCCTTTGTCGGCTAGATCTGATCATCGTCTTCTCTCTCTCTTCCCCCCACCTTCCTTTTCTTATTCTTCTTCTTCCTGATTAGATCTAAGTGCGGTGATTGGATTTCATCTCCTCGAAGATCTACGGTTGAGGGAGGCTTTTACTTTACAATTACAAGTATGGCGGGGTTGGGGCGATGGTTGTGGTGGTGGGGGTGGTTGGGGTGGTGGGAGTGGTTGGGGTGGCTTTGGTGTTGAGATGAAAAACGAGCTCAGAAACAACACAACAGGGGTATTTTGGGCAATGCAGACCATTAGTCAACTCCTACTAAAAATGGAGAATAGTCAATTGGGAACTTTATATTCGGACAAAGGGAAGTACAAGATAAATTGCAAAGTCACTTTGCGCATAAAGAAAACTCCCCAAATAAGACTAAATCATAGCCTCTATCCTCAATATAGGAGTACAAAGTTAGACTCCTCAAAATAGGAGTAGTCAATGCATTCTTAAACAGTACAACGCTTCCAATTAGGGGTGGACGGTTCCGGGACGGTTCCTGTTCGGGAACCGCCTGTTCCGGTACCGCCACCCTGGTACCGGTACCGGTGCCGGATCTGCCTGATATCATTTGCACCAAATCATCGGATGGTTGTTGGTTTGCATGTTACTCCCGGAAACCACCATGTTCCGTTTGCTCACAAAAAAACCTTGTTGATTTCAAGCTCTGTTCTCTCCCGCCATATTCTCCTCCGCACCGGCTCACCGCACCACCGCAGTTAATCCGCCGTACCACCTCCTACATCGTACAACGTTCTGAAGCTAGTGTTCACGCGAGAACTCGAATTCCGTGAACGATTACTCCGATCGTTCAAGTTCTAGGTCTCAAATTCATCGATTAAGGTATGAGCTCCAACTCGTCCCTTGTCACTATGGCTTTATGAATTCTGACTTGTTCGATTATGATTCCAGAAAAGATGAACAATAAGACTAAGAGTTCCATTTCATTCATTGTTAGTTTACGCATGTTAATTTTGGTTTCATTGATTGACTAAAGTGTATACCAGTATAGTTGATGTTTTGTGTGTCTCAAATTGTTTTCTGAATAAATTAATTTGTAGCTTAAATGGTAGACCATGATGATTACACGCAATTTGGTTTTTGATGCTATTTAGAAATTTATAAGCTGTAATCAGTGGATTACTTACATGATTTGTATTAGGTAAATACCACTTATGTAAGTGCTATATGATTATTCAGATTTATATATAACTGTGATTTACAAGTCAAGAAGTTTTATATTAACATAATGAATGATGTCAGATTAAGTTAGATTGTCCTTAGTTATTAAATTGTTTTGCTAGCATAATGGTAAAACTGCTACAAAATCCACTTGAGCAGCCAAAATCAAGTACATAAACTTTGGATCAGTTTCTTTTTTTTCTTGATGTCACTCTAGTGATATGAGTGACACTGGATGTATAATTTTGAGTTCAAGTTCACCAATGAATCCTTCATGGATATGTATTATACATACTCAGGATTGCCAATATTTTGGATTACTAATAAGGTAAGTGTGCAATCATAATGATATAAAAATCTTAACTGTACCAATTGCTGCAAACCAGTAACTCAGGACTAATTGTTGTCTATTGATTGGGTACTTGGGTTAGCATCTTAAATTGTACCCCTTAATTTTAAAGTATGTCATTAGTTCAGCCTTACGAGCAAGTGTTAGGGTTGATTGGTTGGTGCCTAGTGTTAATAACAACATTTTGTTCCCTATTTGAAGGTATTCTTTGGACAGATTGGTACCTTGCGTTAATTGCGGGACTTTGTTTTCAGTTTGAAGGTGATATTTGAGAAGTTTAGAATTGCAAGGTAATCCTTTGGGTATTTGAGTAGATGAAATTCAAATCAAATTCGTTTTATTTGTACTTTGTTCATGCTATTTCCTTTAGCTGTGAAAATTGACTCTAGATGGAAGGTAGACAGTCAACTGGTATCGACACTGACAAGAAAAAGTGCGCGCACTGTCGTGAAATGTATCCCTTTCGATACATTATGTCACATGAAGTGCTTTGCAAGGTAGGTGTTGATCTTAGCATCTTAGTTTAATATATTGTCTTGCTTTGTTGCTGATATCTGTTTTCTTTATGTTTCTAGGCCAATCCTGCCAACCAGTATTTTTTGGTAAATGTCTTGAGAATGTATATTTAGTTGTCTTATTTTATTCTTTTTAATAACAGATTGCTGTTTTGTTTTGCCCAGGGACTCCAGGCCATTCCCGAACTACGCCAGTTCATTCCCAACTTACGTGAAAGACTTCGTGAAAGACATGACCCTGCACCTGTGCTCATCGAAGGCAAGTATTTATAGTAATGAGTAACGTTGTTTGACCTGCTGTGTGGGGGGCGGTGGGGGGGGATGGTTAAACCTCTTTACTTTCTCTCTCTCTCTCTCATAGTACCTCACAACTTCATGTTCTTGTTATCTATTGACATGATGAGATATATGATCTATTCATATTTTAATTTACAGATGAAGGTAGCAATCTGATAACATCCTCCCCAGACCCCGTGAAAGAAGCACTCTCTTTCACGGCGGAGCTGCTAGTGTTAGATGATAGTTTTACACAAGGGCCGCAGCAGTACCTCTGTACTGTTCAGGAGGCCAAATTTACTGTTGTGGTGTCGTCAATGAATCGCAAAGACTCTTCTCTCACCCTAAAAGCGGGTGATATGGGGATTGCTGTGTTCGTCGTTTGTGAACCAGCAGTGGCCGGCCATGGGACGCATTACCATACATGGCAAATTTGAAAACAAATTGCTGGCAGTTGGTGTGATAACCTCTGTTGAAACAGAACTCGTTGATATAGTACCTCGTCACATAGCTCTATCTTTGGCTAAAGTGAAGTCAACCACTCTTCCTATAAGTGGAGCAACACTTCCCAAGCACAGGTAAATGCTTCAATTGCTGATGGCTTCATTTAGATTGCTTGTTAAAAAACAGGCATTATACTTGAATGAGATACCAAGGTTTTCAGGTGCAAGTGTTAGTGTGGATTTGTTATCCCATGTTAAAATTTTTTAAATGTGGTAGATACCATGTGTAAGTAGAAGTTGCTGGTTTGATGATGTCTGGATTTGGATTGCTTAATAGAAAACATGCATTATACTTAATTGAAATACCAAGATTTTAAAACCTGACCTGGTTGGTTGGACTAAGAACCAGACCAGACTAGCTGGCTGAGTGCAGTGAATTATAGTGTTTTTTCTACTGTTAAAATATTTTCGCTTTTTCATTTCAACTTTGATTGAAAAATGACGGATGTGTCGCCAACACTACCATGCAGTGTTGCTGAAGTAGGTGCAGTACAAGGATGCAATACTCATATATTCATGTAGATGTCCAAACCAATTAAACCCGAAACCGATAATATCCGTGTGTGTATATATATATATATATATATATATAAATATATATATATATATATATATATAGACTAGAAGAATATTAGTATAATCCACATAAAAATTTAAAACAAATAAAGGATCAATAGTTATATTCTTTATATATAAAAATGATACTTAGATCAATAAGAAACAAACATATCCCATATTTATCCGGTTTTTCAAACACCTAATATATCTAAATTATAAACTTCTCTCATTTACAACAAAATTTTGGAATAATAAATAAAATACTCACTTCACATAGAAATAAATTTTATATTTGTTCACAAATTGACATGACATTAATTTGATTATATTTATTTAAAATTTGACAAATAATAAATTGAATATTTTTTCACATATAAATAAATTTTATTTTTTGATACTTAATATGCCACCTAATTAAGTATACAGAAAATGTGAATTTAATATTTTGTGATGAAATCTTTGAGTAAATTAAATTATGGAAGAGAAACATATTTTCTTATGATAATATTTTTTTTCCAATTCAATATAGTATTTTTTTGGTCTCTTGATTTGTAGTTAAAATTTTAATTAATAAATAATATTTTTTTGACATCTAAATAATTTTAACCCGTGTATTTTTTATTACATGTTTAGATGAAATTAGATTTGATTTTATTTATTTTAATATTGATGTTAAATTAAAACCAAACAATATATTTTAAAAACTATATTAAGAAATTCTAAAAAAGATATAACTTTACTATATTGTTTTTAAATAGAAAAAGATATTTAATAATAAATAAATATTATATTCACCCATAAATTAATTTTATATTCGTAATTTCTTGTGATATGTTTAAAAAAATCCAGTTTAATTATACTAATTTAAATATTCACACCTAATAAATAAAATATTTTTCTCACCTATAAAGAAATTTCATATTTTCCTGACACATAATATGCCACCTAATTTAGGATATTTAAAATGCAAAATCAATGTTTTAATATAAAATATTTGAAAAAAATTAGTTATGGAGAAGGAATATTCATTTTCATGAGAAAATTCTCTCCTAATTCAATGATTTTTAGTACCTTTATTTATACTAAAACTTTTAGTTAAAGAATTAGATGCTATTTTAGCTTTAAATTTATGTAATATAAGTATTTTTTTATGATATGTTATAATGAAGTTAGTTTTGATTCCATTAATTGCAATATTGATGGAAAACTAAAATATATCTACATTAAAAATTAAATTAAAATATATATAAAACAAGAGATAACTAGACTATAGTTGCTTCTAAAATAGAAAGAATACTAAAAATAATTTCATAGCTTGAATAAATTGATTTTATGATTTGAACTTTTTAATATACAATTTATTATTTATTGTTCTTGGATAATTTATGATTTAAATTTAAAGATATATTATTTTTAATTACCTATTATGATATAATGTTTGAAATTATATTATAAAATATAATTGATTCAAAAAATGTACATGTCAACATGGCATAATATATTATATTTATACTAATTTTATTTATTATTTTAACATTATTGAGTAAATTTAATTATGGAATACATGATAGAGATCATCGCTTTTATTAGAATATACAAAGATTTTTCTAATTTTATAGTTCTTTCACTTCATTTATAATAAAACAATCAAAGAACAAAAAAGATTTCCTTCGTTAGAAAAAGATACTTTCTTAACCTTCAAAATTCATATTTGTTTATGACAAGGTTAAGTGAAGTTAGTTTTTAATGTATTATTTTTAATTATCTATTATCCTATCCTATATCTTATCCTTTATCCTTTATATATATAAAGCAGACTTCGAGCAACAGGAGCGCGACATTTGGCGAATCTAAAGGGTGACATGTGGCGGAACTTATGTGTCAACATTTTAGACAAATAATGGTGATGTGGCAATTTGAGGGGCATTAAACAAAAAAATCTGCAAAAGAAAAATTTCCTTCGCTATCTGCTCTCTTTCGACTTACTAGATTTTAAAATACTTTCTTGATAAAGGAGTTGAACAATGACAACGAAAATTTATCATCTAATCTTAAACATTATATATCTAAAATGAATGAAGACCAGATGAAGATATACGACGATAAAGTCTTTATGTTTTACTATAAATATGAACAAAAGTCAAGTTCAAATATTGTTATTTGTTTGATTATTTTAAGTTTTTAACTAAGTTGAAGTTCACTCATAGTCAACTTTATGTTATTGTTCACGAGTAAAAACAAAGACAGAGTTAAAAATATTAGTTATAGAATAGAGATATATGTTTTTTTGAATATTCATTATTAATTTTATATTTTTTCATTTCATTTATAATAATACTTTCAATGAATATATAAGATATACTCTTCACCACTAAATAAGTTTCATAGTTGTTTATGATATGTAGAAATGAAGTTAGTTTTATTCTATTTATTTAAATATTGATATAAAATTAAAAATTTACAATATATTTTAATTTCTACATTAAAATTCAATAAAAGAATAGACGACTCAATTATTTTAATCTTTTTTTGCTAATCGAATTTAATGTTGGGTGGATTATGTTTTTCGTACTCATAGAATAATCATATATCATATAAATAAATTTAATTTTGTATTGTATACAAATAAAATTTTCTAATTATTTTTTGGAGGACTTATAATCTCACGAGAAAACCTAAAGAATTTATGTCTAATTAAGATTGAAAAGTTCCTTAATTGAAATATATAGTCTTTAAAATAATTCAGTGGAATGCCATTTTCTGATGAAAATCCACTTAATCGATATCAAAATAATGTTTTTGATAAAAGAGTTGAACTATGACAAAGAAAAGTTATCATTTGATCTTAGTGTATATTTATTTACAATGAATGAAGATTAGAGGAATATATCTAATGAAACAATGGAAGTCATGACAACTGAAAGAAGAAGTTTATTTTTTGTGAATGGTTAAGATGGAACTCAAAAAATATTTCTCTACAAATCACTGTATGCTTCTTTAATGTCAGATGGTAAGGTTGTCTTGAATGTTGCATCCAAGGGGAAGGGCCGCACACTTAAGATTCTCAATCCTTTTGTAGCTAAACGAGTGCTCATCGTGTGTCATCAAACAAGAATTAATCCAATAAGCAAGTATAATCATATGGGAGTAGTCATCTACGATGAGTAGATTTGCTTTTGAGACATTGGATTGCAAAATGAGAGATGTAATGAGGCCCACTAATAGTAACTCCATAAGTGAATCATTCGGAGGGAAAACAATTATACTGGGAGGTAGGAGTGTTCATCGGGTCAAACCCGGACCGGGACCGAATAAGGCGCATTTGCTGGACCGAGGACCGGACCGATTAAGCTAAGGACTGGCCCGGGATCATACTGGTAAAACCCGGACCGGAACGGGACCGGACCGAATAAATGTTATTTTTAATTTTTTTTTAAAATTTGATTTTATTTATTTAATTAAAAGTATTCAATTGAATAAAAATATTACTACAACTAATTTTTAATTGTAACATACACTAAACATTGTCGAACACAGTTGTTTTGAATTTTAAAATTTTTTTTTAAATAAAATATATATCTTCCATCCGTATACACACACACACACACTATCCACGACTTATTGTATTGTATTACTTTTAAAAAAATGATTATATATATTTAATCACATATGCATATTTATTAATTAAATACTTTGTTTCAAAAATTTTATCTTATTACATTATTTATTTTATTGCTGCATATATTTTTTAACAAAGCAAATAGAATAAATTTGGTTTAATTGAAGGGTGACAACTGACATATGACATTATGACACATATACATTCTCTAATGATGTATCATTATGTAATTAATCCTTTTTTTATTAAAATATTTTATTAATTAAAACTATTTTTATTAGTACTTAATTCAACGACCATTAATTTTTTAGAATTTGTTTGTTTTTAGATTAACATACCAATATAAATTTCAGAAGTTTAAAACATATTTTGTCACTATTAGAAAACTAAAACAACTAAAATTATATTATAGAATCTCAAAAATTTAGAATATATACGAGCTCGTGCGAAGCACGGGATTAAAACTAGTGATATGGTATTTTTAACCCGTCAGGAGTCCACCAAAATTGGTATGGTAAAGCGTGGGAACACTTACCTAAATTTATTAGAAAATTTATAAATACACATTTAGGGAGGGCAAAACTGAGGATTTGGATATTTTTAATTACATTATACAATACAATTGCCTATTATGATATGATATACTCGCTTCATTCTAAAAAAGAGTTCCTTGTTTGACTAAGTGTAAAAATAAGGAATTGTTAAATTGTAGTTGATTAACAATTTTGCCCTTGATGTGATAGGTAAAAGTAGGATAAGTGGATAGATTATTAGAGAACAAATATGATGTGATAGGCACGACATGAAAAAGTAAAGATAAAAGTGGTTTTTTAATAGAAAGTAAAAATGTTTTGTTGGAAGTGGAAAAAAATGAAAGAGGAAGTACTTTTGAGAACGGAGAGAGTATGTAATTACATTATGAGATATAATTGATTCAAAAACTGTGTCACCATGACATACTGTATTTACACTAACATTCTTTATGATTTGAATATTAGTGTAACGCCCCAAAAATATGGTCTAAAAGTTATTCTTTAATAAAAGTAGTTTATAAACAATATTTTGACCCAACAAAACATTATTTCAATGTTTGACCAAAAGCGAAGAAATTTTTGGAGTCAATGACTTTTTTGTTAAGATTGACTTTTATGGATACGTCTCGAAGAGATGAATCTAACGGTATATTTTATGGATAAAACTAAGATGTGAACTTTTGTAAAATGATTTATTGAAATAAATATTTAAATTAAATAAAAAATAATACCGATTGAATATGAGAGTAACTTTAATTATATATCAATTAATTTAATTTTGACTCTGTCAAAGTTCAACACCCAAAAAAATGCTGTCAGAAAAAGTATTTCAAATAAATTTAAAAGTTATATCGTTAAATAAAGTTTGACTGACTGATCGCAACGGTGCAATTAGATTTCAATTTGGATAAAGTTGGAACAAAAAGTGTACCCCGATTGAGGGAATTTAATCAAACTAAACTAGAACAAATTAAATATTAGCCACCCCTCCACTGGTAGTCGACGAAGGAAAATCACAGCTCCAACACGCCACTCCCTCTCCTAGACCTATATATAGAGTAATTCGTTCTTCATCATGTCCATACCAAAATCATCCCATTGGAGGAGAGTTCAAAGAGTTGAGAGAAGCTGTCTGGAGAGCTTCCCATCGCCGGAGCAAGCTGTGGTATTCGCCGGAAGTTTCACCGTTTTTCCACTGGAATCATCATTTCGCTTCGAAGTAAGCCCGTAGATATATTTAGTGAATATAATTTTCGTATAGATCGTTTCTACATTCATGAATGGTCGTTTGGTTGAGTTTTCAGTTTGACATATTTGAAAAACTAAGAATTATAAACCTTGAATTTGTTGTTAAAACTTCGAATTGATGCCTCTAAAATGATCTACGAACCTTAGAGAACATTTCTATATATATAGTTTAATTGAAATTTGATGACCAAACATGGAATTTGAGAAAAATGGGTTGAAGGTTGAAGATGATGAAACGGAAGGTCCCCCTTCAGTACTTTAGATCATATTTTAAACACCCCTTTAGTCATTTTAAATAGGAAAAATTATCTCAAATAATCCCACCTTTTCGCGCTCTTTCAAAAATAATTCCACTTTTCACTGTCACCGGAAATAATCCCACCTTTTCGCATGTGTGCGAGTTTTGGGTCACCGTTAAAAAACTAACGGCCACTTAACGAAAGTTTTTGAAAATGCCTATTTTTTGCAAATAAATGAAAGGTGGGATTATTTTAGAAAAAATTACTTTTTACTTTTTTAGTTTTGAATTTAAAATTAATATTTTTAAAAATATAACAATACACTCTTGTTAGAGATTTGTCTAACGATTAACAAATTTTGTTAATTGTTTTGGGAAAATATAGTGTTGAATTATCGAAAATAATTCAGAGTATCGATCAAGAAAGAAATTACAATAAAAAAATTGTAGTGATTTATAAAATTTATGGGTTCCGTTTCGGAGAAAAAAATATTGTGTCATTTTCACAACTTTTGAATTACTATTTTGGGGAAAAATTTGTATTGAATTATTAAAAAATCACAAATTGGGTAGTTCCATTTTAGAAAGAAAATTTTATTGCAATATAAGATTATCAATAAATATTTCAGAGTGTTCATGGAAAAATTGCAATACATCAGAAAATGTAGTGAATTATAAAAATAAAAGTTCTATTTTAGAGAAAAAAATTGTTGTGTTATTTTCACAACTATTGTAATGTTGTTTCACAAAAAATATTTATATAGAACTATCGAAAAATATTCATAAGTTTTGTAGTGCCATTTTTTTAAGAAATAATAATAATGTAGTATTAAAAAATAATTTGAAGTGCAGCTCAAGAAAAATACAGTAAATGCAAAAAATACAGTTAGTTATGAAGTTAATAAATTAGCTCTATTGTGTAGAATAATTTATTTTCTAATTATTACCATATTATTGGTTATTGAAAAAAAACAGTTAGTTTTTCTCTAAAAACACTTAAATTTGGTATTTTTTCCAAAAAAATAAAATAAAAATACATTTAAAGAAATTAAAAAACAAAAAAGGGAGAATTTACCTAAAATAATCCCACCTATCATTTATTTGCAAAAAATGGGCATTTTTCAAAATTTCCGTTAAGTGACCGTTAGTTTTTTAACGGCGACCCAAAACTCGCACACATGCGGGAAGGTGGTATTATTTCTGGTGAGATTAAAAAGTAGGATTATTTTTGAAAGAGCACTAAAAGGTGAGATTATTTAAGATAATTTTTCCTTTTAAATAATATGAGACCTCCCAGTTATTACCATAAAACCCAGGGTACCTAGAAGTTATTTTTGATAATTTTTTTATTGTTCCAACAGCAACTATCCAGATGACATTTTGAAAATTGAACTAGAAAGGTTATAGATGATCTATTAAATTTCTGGATTGGAGCTCTAATATAATGAAATAATTCGGTTTCAAAGCAATCAAGTGACAAATAATCACTTTCTAAAGTTAACAATACAATCAAGAGCTTCAGATGCTGGATCATGATCAGAGAACTGAATGCAATAAGCAGTAGCCATCATACATAAAACCAGAAGCATCCAACATTTCTTTATATATGAACTAATCTCAGAACCACACTCAAGATGATGCTTCTGTAGAACCGAGATTATTATTAAAAAAAAACATTTAAAACCTTCCAAGTTTATTGGTTTAAGTTAACAGTTGCAAATAGTGCATTAAATAAATAGAAAGATGCATGCGACAGGTCAATGGTGCTAATAAAACAAGATAACTAAGCTCCCTGCGACCAAGATGATGTTTTGTTCCCATGAAATCCCCAAAACTTTCTTCGACATTTTGTCCACTGAATGTGTGATACCTTCTTGTTTCGAGAGAATAGAACACTATCTTCCTGTTCTCAGAATGTAAGAGCGGAAAGTAAATCTTGTTCGCCATTTCTGGCATTTTGGCTTCGCTGCAAAGACAAGTCTGACCACTAATATAAATCATGTGCCTTCCTAAACTCGTTGTTTTCTCCCATTCTGTTGAATCATTCAAACTGAATACCTCAACGCATTCTCCAAACTCGCAGATGATGACCAGCAAAAGTTTTTGATCACATTTCACTAGGAAATTTTGTTTGGCAGATATGCAACTACTTCTGGGGCCTTCCTGCCAAGTGTAATCTTGGCTGTCTATATCTATAAAACCAAGTCCTTCATTGTTATACAAAGCATACAGATTTCGGCCATAGTGTGTTGCAAAATGAAAGGAGTGTGGGTGATCACCCCTAAGATGGAATCTATGCCAAAATGGTTCTTGACCTACAAAGTGGATGTAAACATTCCATTCACTGAATGTTGTAAACCCAACAATCATACAATCAGGCGAAGTAGGTGGTGCCGAGAAACAATAGCTGTCTAAATAAGGGACGAACGGAAGCTCATGAGTATCACTTGTGAAGGGGTTAAAGAATGTCAGTGGCCCCTCGTGTTTGCGCATAAGCAACCAGCCATACATGGAACAATATATTTTCAATTCACCAATCAACTTTTGAGGTGTCTTTATAAAGTACTTGTCACCAAACACCGGATCAATAAAAGAGATAATGCCTAGCTCATTGTCTAACACCATCAACCAGGGTGAAACTAATGAATATGTGTGCAATCTCCCTAGTGCTGTTCCCTTACTCCATCGAATCATAGGTGCTGCTAACTGGCATTGCTTGCATGTAGCACGGAAGTTGAGGTATTCAACACCAACACAAAAATCCATTATCAACTTCAAAACATCGAACGGAATGTTGAGAAGGCGTGGCTCCGTATTCTCTTCATGTGCTTCAATCCAATTACTACCAACATCATTATCCCTAACTGAGCTTACCACCCTCTCATTTTCTTTGCCCCCCTCATGATGAAAATCAACTCTACACTTGATTTCTCCATGTGACCTGCACAGCACATGATCATTAAGAAAATATTTCCCTTCCTCTAATGATAGCGTAAATATCAACTAAAAGCAATACCTGCATTCCAACAATGATGCACTGCTTGTGGGCATGGAAGACAGGGATATAGTTTTACTCTTGAAGTCGTATGAGTGTATTACTTTGCCACATATGTCAAGAAAGTGTACATGACCCCCGAACCCAGAGGAAACTGTAGCACTATAAAAAGCAGAGTAATCATGAGCAAGATCCAAAAAGAATGCAGCGTCTTTGAGATCTTCCATTTTTTCCCATCTTTTATTAGTCGCGTCCAGTTTAAACACAATCACGGCACCAACCGTTTGTTTTGTGATGTGGCCGATTTCATTGAGACCTAACTTAATGTAAAACATTTCTGTATAACACCCTATCAAAAAAGGAGTTGCGCTCAAACAACCATTCATATAATGATACGGGACCCCCATATACGGCAATAGATTTATCACAGTTTCTTTACCGTTAACCACAATATCAATGTGCACAACAGAAACATTACAACGCACAGTAGTCAAGGCGTATACTTTACTGTTGCAAGAGGTTAGACTGTATAAGAAACTATCACAACCAGTTATGCTTCTCATTTGTTTAGCGTATGACATTTTCACCCATTTTATCTTCTTTCTATTACGGTCTAGCCGACAAAAAACAATTGCGTACTTCACAACCGTTATCATCAATACTGAACCTGGTTCATCAGGAGGGGATGACAAACAACATTGGTGGATAATATTTGAACCTCGATCTCCTTTTTTTAAAATCAACAAGGGGAGGCGTATGATCTTAGAAGTCATAGGGTTCCAAAGAGACCACATGTTATTGTGTGGATGGTTGGAGAGAATCACCCAACCATAGTAAAACCCCCGGATACGTTTTCCGAGGAACGATGGAATTTGACACCTGTATCGAGAGAGTGGATCACGTACGGTGTATATAATATGGTCTTTGTTGTTATCTTCTTCATCTTCCGTGTTCCGGTCGACCAACCAAGGATGATTGACAGATAGGGTGGGTAATCGGTCACATATAGAAGCACAAACATACTTCTGCTCCATCTGAAAATATTCACAGAAGTATTTCAAATTTGATGAAAGCAGCGATCTATGTTTTCAAAACAAACTAAAACCCTATATTTCACCAAAAAACAGATTTGCTCCATCAAACTTCAAATAAACAAAGAAGCTTCAAAAGGTAATCAGTAAACCAATAACAAACACACCCACAAACACACAAACACACACACACACAAGATGTTCCTACAGTGCTTCTAAACAACTTAAACATATATTTTTGGTGTACTTTGACTACTTTCTATCCTAATTTAGTAATGATTACTTGAAATCATCACCTTTGACTTTAGTTGGCCCATAAAATTTACGGCACTAACAATTCCACATCTACTTCAAGAGCATAGACATTTTCCTAGTGAACCAGTTTGCAAAAAAATAAATGAACACATAATATTAAAAAAATTGTAGTGAGTGATGCTAATTAAGATATAATGGTATATATTATGAGGGATAACACTTTCAAAAGCTAAAAGAACTCGCTATTAGCTTTTGAACCAATATCATTCAAGTTCTTAAATCCGCTTTTCAATCCATCCGAGCACATCAATATCTAACAAAACTCAATCTTTACTCAACCTTATAAAACATCCAATCCAACAACCAAACACAAAAAAGACATGATTTTTAATAAATTTTAATCCATCTGCTCCTATGGTAGTCTACAAAAGCTCCTTTCTCAAAATTTTATAAGAATCTGTTTCATCAAAAAAAAAAAGACTCGATTTTTCTCCAGACAACCAATCCACCCAAACACGACATTCTAAAAACCATCAAGTGCAAAAACAACCTAAGTATCATTCATGTTCGTGAATACAATACATCTAAACACATCAATCATCTAAAAAAACTCAATTATTTTTCAACCTTATAAGAAGCCCAAGCCAATCCAACCAAATACAAGAAATACATGATGTTTATCAAATTTTGATCCCTCTGTTCCTATGATAGTCTGCAAAGACTCATTTCTTCACTCAAATCTTTATAAGAATCCGCATCATCTAAAAAAGACTCAATTTTTATCCAAAATTTCAAAACAACTAATCCGCCCAAACACGACAAACTAAAACCCAACAAGAGCAAAACAAACTAACAATCATTCTTGTTCTTCAATCCGCTTCTCAATCCATCCAAACTCATCAATTGTCTAAATCCAACCTTATATGACGTCCAATCTAACCAAAACACAAAAAAGACATGATTTTTATCAAATTTTGATCCCTTTGTTCCTATGGTAGTCTACAAAGATTCCTTTCTTTACTCAAAACTTTATAAGAATTAGCATCGTAGAAAAAGGGCTTGATTTTTATACAAAATTTCAAAACAACCAAGCACGACAATCTAAAAACTGTCAAGTGCAAAACAAACTAACAATCATTCATGTTCTTCAATCCACTTTTGAATCCATCCAAACACATCAATAGCTGAAAAAAACTCAATTTTTATTCAACCTTATAAGACGTCCAATCCAACCAAACACAAAAAGACATGTTTTTTTTTATCAAATTTTGATCCCTCTGTTCCTATGAGAGTACAAAGACTCCTTTATTTACTCAAAACATTATAAGACGCAACATAATCTAAAAAAGACTCGTTTTTTATCCAAAAATTCAAAACAACCCAACTGCCCAAACGCGACAATCTAAAACCCATCAAGAGCAAAAACAAACTAACAATCATTCATGTTCTTCAATCCACTTTTTAATCCATCCAAAGTCCAAACACAGCAAATGTCTAAAAAGCTCAATTTTTATTCAACCTTATACAACGTCCAATCCAACCAAACACAAAAAAGACATGATTTTGATCAAATTTTGATCCCTTTGTTCCTATGACAGTCTACAATGACTCCTTTCTTTACTCAAAACTTTATAAGAATCTGCTTTGTCTAATAAAAGACAATTTTTATCCAACATTTCAAGGCAACCAATCTCTCGAAACACAACAATCAATTATTTTTATAAAACCTTCAAAAGATTTGGTTTAAAAAAACACACATCATAATTAAACGTCTTATAATTTGTTTTTCAATGTGATCATTGAAAAACAATGCCAACAAACAAACTGATGATGATAATAATAATAATAATAATAGTAATAATAATAATAATAATAATAATAATAATAATTCATACCTCAATACTTGGAGGCAGCTATTTTCAAACCCCAACCAGAAGCTGAGCAAAGCTCTTTGGATCGGGCAGAGTGTAGTTAATTAAAAGCTAAGTGTGATTTTAGTTGTTTTAGCTTCCATTATTATACACTTCAATTAGATTTTATTATTTAGTAATAAATGTATTTTATGGCTATTTTATCAAATCATGACATCTACAATTTACTATACAGAAATTTTTTCTGTGGTATTTTTGCAGAGATCAATAGCAAAAACCATTGTGGATCTTTCGGATATGTATGCAATATGCAGAAAACAGTAAGCAAATATACAAAAAATAAACTATGATTCTTCGGTTCTAATTTTGAGTATATATGCATACATTCCAGAAATAAACTGAAACATCAAGGGTTGTGCCGGGAAAGAAACAAAAAAAGAATTGAGGAGCCACAAAAAGAAACTAGAAAACCACAAAAACCCCACAAAAAGAACTAACAGATCGACAAAGAATTTCTAATCCTACTCGTATACGGAGTAATTTTTTGCAAACGGAAAGGAGATGACATTGAGCACGCTGCCAATGACATTGTTTTATAAAATAAAAAGTAATAAAATTATGGAGAGTGTATATGGTACATAATGTACCTAGAGATATGTACATCCATGTAGTACTCAAGTATAGTAGTACTCATTCTCGCACAAATATAATGGTTCATTTGAAAAATGTGGTACACATTCTGAAATAACGCAGTACTCATTCAGAAATAATGTCGTACTCATTTTTAAAAATTTGTTGAATATTCATTTACGAATAACATAATGTTCATTATAAAACATACTAGTACTCATTCCCATATAAACTATTACTCAATCTTAAATAACTTATGTACCATTCATATGTAGTTTGAAATCTGGTAGGAAGCCCAAGACCATCGCTTGGAAGCAGAATACCATCGTTCATATCAAGCAACTTTCAGATAGCGGATTAGACCTTTAACCTTCATCGTCCTCCGCCGATTGGACTTCCAAAGAACCTTAGCTTCATCTTCATTGTGTAATCGCCAGACCTTCATCCGCAAATCGCCGATCGGGAATCCAACCATCGCGCAGCTTCCTTCATGAACGATCGATTCGCCGGTTCTTGCCCTAATTCCTCCGTTCGCCCTAATTAATTTCCGGCTGTACGGTTCTTCCCATACAGCCGGATGTACGGTATAATTTGCAAAAATTATGTTATTTTTTTAAATAACTAATAAAAATACATAAAAAAGTAAAATATGTACGAAATCAAACTTAAACTCTTCTAAATTAGAGTAATTAATGCATTTCAATTCAATATCGCATCCCCTTTCTCTCTCATCCTCTCCATTGCGTCGCCGCCCCCCTTTCGGCATTGCCGCCGCTCCCTTCCCCCTGGTTGCTCTGCTTTTTCGATCTATTTACATATCTCTTTTGGTTTATCCAGCAAATTTCTTCATGCTAGCATTTAGATGAAATAATTTTTTATTTAGAGTCTGTTTGGGAATAGCGTTAGCGATTAGCGTTGCTATTTTGAAAACGCTATCTACGGGCAGCGTTTAACGTTAGCATTTTCAAAGTAATTTGCACCGTTAAAATTTTATGCAAAACGCTAACGCTAATCTCTAACGTTATTTCCAAACATGCTCTTAGTCTATGTTTAAATTTGTTGGGGCTGTAAGTTTTCGTTGGATTTTTGTATGTGTTGGGTGCACTGAGGCCCCGTTTCGTTCAATTTATTTTTTCTTATTGTTATTAAAATCAGATCAGATCAAATTAGTTCCAAACAGATCAGATCAGAGCATACTAGATCAGATCCAATCAGATTAGACCAGATCGGATCAAATCAGATCAAGAATTACTATTATTATTATTAGAAATCATCATCATCATCATTATTATCATTAACGTTATTACTGCATACTTTTTAAATTCCATACTTTTTACTTGTTTTACTTGATACAATTTTTTTAAAAATTAAATTAAATTTCTTTTGAAAAAATATACGAAGAAAGAAATGAAACTTTTGTGCGATTATAATTTATGGAGAGAAAAGTAAAATGATATGAAGCACAATTGTTTTCTTAAAAATGAAAATTTATGCGTGCGAATATCAACTAAGTAACAACTCGGTTTGCTAACCTGTTGGTTCGGATTACGCGGGTTGGGGTGTTATAGAAAGGGCATAAGTATATCATAAAATATATATCACTACCTTTACACGAATGTTTCTAAACCCGTAGTGGTACATCTCAGTGATGCTAATTAAGTTACAGAGGTTTGACATTTGGTTTTTCCCGCAAATAACGTTAGTAACATTTGGAAGATTTATCTGGCACATAAAAAAGATAACATGATATAACATTCAAGGACAACAATCTCTCCCTTTTTATGTTGAAAAATAAGGCTTTCTAATATAATAAACAAATGCACAAACACATCGTGAAAGCATATTTGATTGCAAAAGACTCCCCTTAAGTTGATTGTTGGGAAAAATATTATAGATTTTGATGATGATGATGATGATGTATTCAGATTGTAATCGGGACTTTAGGCCTCCCCCATCATTCAATGCAATTTTCTTTTTATTAGAAATCTTGTTAAAACCAAATTCTTGAGTTTTCAAATAAAACTTATGATATTTCATCTTGAGATTTGAGCATCCATGTTATGAAGACTTGTCAAAATCAAAGTGATTAGAAAAAGATAATGTCGCTTGGAGAACTCATAGACAAGAACAGAATTCTCAATGAAGTCAATTACTTCGTAATTCCAAAGTCTGGAAGACTCAAGCTCTACCCGGAAGTCTCGCAGTCATCCATGTGGAGGCTAGCACCCCGGATATCTTTGTAGCGGAATACTAGCGCGGATTGCTCTAACGGACATCTAAAAAAGTTGTGCAATTTGACACGGATGTTTCTATTTGTATGTGAAATCATTTTTAAAAGTTTCATGTTAAAAAGACTTGTTAATGATGTCTAAATTATAATTTTTTTATTTTGGACTCGAGCTCTAGGGGTATCATCATATTTTTTGGCCACGCTTTAAATTAATCAAAAAATTGTAAAATTTGACATAGATGTTTTTATTTGCATGTAAAATCCTTTGCAAATGTTTCATGTCAAAAAGACTTGTCAATAATGTCTAAATTATTATTTTTTTAGTTTTGGCCTCGAGCTCCAGGAGTATCATCGCATTTTTTTGCCAAATTCTAAATCTATCCAAAAGATTTCAAAATTTGAAATCGATGTTTCCATATGCATGTAAAATGATTTGTAAAAGTTTTATGTAAAAAAACCTTGTCAATAATGTCTAAATTATTATTTGTTTAGTTTTGGTCTCGAACTCTAAAGATACCATCACATTTTTTGGCAAAATTTTAAATTCATAAAAAAAGTTGCCAAATTTAACATGGATGTTTCTATTCATGTAAAATCATTTGTAAAAGATTCATGTGAAAACGACTTGTCAATAAGCCTAATTGTTTATTTTTTTAGTTTGGCCTCGAGCTCTATGGGTACCATCACGTTTTTTGGCCAAAATTTGACATGGATGTTTCTATTTTCATGTAAAATACTTTGTAAAAGTTTCTTGTCAAAAAAACATGTCAATAATGTCTAAATTTTAATTTTTTTAATATTTTCCTTGAGCTCGAAGGGGTACCATCACATTTTTTTGGCTAAATTTTAAATCCATCAAAAAAGTTGTAAAATTTGACATAGATGTTTATATTTACACGTAAATTCCTTTGTAAAAGTTTCATACCAAATAGCCATGTAATTAATGTCTTAATTATTATTTTATTTAGTTTTGGGCTCGAGCTCTAGGGGTACCACCACATTTTTTGGCCAAATTTTAAATTCATGAAAAAAGTTTCTATTTGCATGTAATATCCTTTGTAATAATTTCATGTCAAAAAGAATGTTCAATAAAGTCTAAATTATTTTTTTTAGTTTTAGCCTCGACCTCTAGGGTTACCATCGCATTTTTGGGCCAAATTTTAAATTCATCAAAAAAGTTTCTGAATTTGACATGAATGTTTCTATTTGCATGTAAAATCTTTTGTAAAAGTTTTATGTCAAAAAGACTTTTCAATAGTGTCTAAATTATAAGCTCTAGGGGTGCCACCATGTTTTTTGGCCAAATTTTTAATTCATCAAAATATTTCCAAATTAGACATGGATGTTTCTATTTGCATGTAATATCATTTGTAATAATTTCATGTCAAAAAGAATGTTCAATAAAGTCTAAATTATTATTTTTTTAGTTTTGGCCTCGAGCTCTAGGGGTACCATCGCGTTTTTGGCCAAATTTTAAATTCATCAAAAAAGTTACCGAATTTGAAATGGATGTTTCTATTTTCACGTAAAATACTTTGTAAAAGTTTCATGTAAAAAACATGTCAATAATGTATAAAGTTTTATTTTTTAGTTTTGGCCTCGAGCTCGAAGAGGTACCATCACATTTTTTGACGAAATTTTAAATCTATCAAAAAAGTTGCAAAATTTGACATGGATGGTTCAATTTACATGTAAAATCCTTTGTAAAAGTTTAATGCCAAATAGACATGTCAGTAATGTCTTTATTATTATTTTATTTATTTTTGGCCTAGAGATCTAGGGGTACAATCACGTTTTTTGGCCAAAATTTAAATTAATTAAAAAAGTTGCCGAATTTGATATGAATGTTTCTATTTGTATGTAAAATACTTTGTAAAATTTGCATGTCAAAAAGACTTTACAATAATGTCTAAATTGTTATTTTTTAATTTTGTTCTCAAGCTCTAGGGGTACCAACGTGTTTTTTAGCCAAATTTTAAATTTATCAAATATGTTGACGAATTTGACATAGATATTTCTATTTAAATGTAAATTCCTTTGTAAAAGTTTCATGTCAAAAAATGTCAATAATGTCTAAATTGTTATTTTTTTGTTTAACCCTCGAGCTATAAGGGGTACCATCACATTATTTGCCTAAAATTTAAATCCATCAAAAAAGTTGCAAAATTTAACATGGATGTTTCTATTTACATGTAAAACCCTATGTAAAAGTTTTATGCCAAATAGACTTGTCATTAATGTCTTAGTTATTATTTTATTTAGTTCATGTCATAACGTTTTTTTGCCAAATTTTAAATTTATCAAAATATTTGCCGAATCTGACATGGATGTTTTTATTTGCATGTAAAATTCTTTATAAAAGTTTCATTTCAATAAGACCTGTCAATAATCTCTATATTATTATTTTTTTAGTTTTGGCCTCGAGCTCTATGGCAAAATTTTAAATGCATCAAAAAAGTTGCGAAATTTGACATTGATGTTTCCATTTACATGTAAAATCGCTTGTAAAAGTTTCATGCCAAATAGACATGTGAATAATGTCTTAACTATTATTTTATTTGGTTTTGGCCTCAAGCTCTAGGGGTACCATCGCGTTTTTTGGCCAAATTTTAAATTCATCAAAAAAGATGCCGA